GAAACGTGGTTTTATATGCGAATGGGAAAGACAGTGTTGTCTCTATAAACTCCTTTTCTTTTTACTTTGATCTGATCTTTCATGCAACCCTGCCATCCATCCATTTGCTTTACCTGCTTCAACTTTCAGAGTTGCCAAGATTTGGTGTCTATCTCCTGCAGTCATGTGCAAGAGGCGGGGTTCACCCTGGACAGGTCTTCAGTCCATCACAGGGACACAAAAAACCGAGACAACCAGTCACTCTCTCGCTCACACCTAGAGACAATTTAGTTACCAATCAGCCTAACATGCATTTCATGTGGGAGGAAACCAGAGTATCCAGAGAAAAGCCATGTCTGCACTGGGAACACATGAAAACTCATGCAACCCTCCCTGGAACTTGAAACATCTGTTTGATTAAGTCAAAGTCTACTTTATTGTCAATTCTAACAGATATAAAAAGAGTCAAAATGACATTTCTCGCCATTCCCTGGTGAAACTAATATCTTAAAAAATCACATCACAATTAAGAACAAATAGTAATAAAAAGTTTTTCCATAATCCATAAAAAACATAACAGTAATGTTAAAAATCCCGTATACATATACTACCATATAAAATTTTAAAACACAACTCTTATATAGTTAACTGCTATATATGATCATCAGATGATCAATTATCTGATCATCATCTTCACTTGGGTTTTGTGTGTTTCAAACTGCTAAATTAACAGTGTTTTACAAATAAGGACAGTGTGAGTAACCAGAAGATGTACAAAAATCACAAAATAAAATACATATATACAGTATTCTTTAAAAACCATTCAAAGTAACTCCATCTGGATAGCAAAAATATGTTTTATTTGTTGATGAGCAACAGTTTTTTTTTATTTGTGTGGAATATAGACAAAATGTCAGAGGAGCCAGTACGAACACTAAACCTTCTGAGTCTATACAAAAACCTCTGAGAGCTTCAAAAACAAAGCAGCTGGTCTTTGTTTCCATAGACGAAACAAACTGTAGTTGTAGTTTGCTTCTGATCCAAGGAGCTTTTTCAACTCAAGAGAAAATTCTGGGCTGAGAAGCGAAATGTCTTCAACTGCAGAAACAAGGTCAAGTTGCTTTGTTTTGATATTCTTAAAGTTTTTTTTTTTTTTGTCGTGTTCTGGATGACTAAAAGCTACACAAATATCTTTACACAGATTGATCCAGCTGGTACGCCAAGCAAAAACCATGGCGATCCACACAACTAGCATCCCCTAATGAGTGAACACTGCTAAATATCTTTCAAGCCAAAGTAAAAAAAAATAAAAATACATGTTTAGGCCGCCTCCAGGCCCAGACCTCTCTTGCTAAAGAGATCTTTGATGTCAGTGGAATTTTCCTGCTAATTAAAGGTTAATAATTAATAGTAAAAGAAATGCATAAATTGATTGGGGTTGACTTTCAGTTTCAACCACCCCAAAGTTTAGCTCAATGTCTGTACAAATGTCTGCGTTACGACCATTTTTCTGTTAGCTGTTCATTCAACCTTTATTTATACAGCTTAGTCCCTTTGAGCCTCAAGGACTCATTTACAAGAAAGACCTGTTTTTTAACAAAGAATGACGACAACAGTAGACAATCATAAAATAAAGCATATTAATAGAGAGAAACAAATTTGAGAAAAATAAATGGAAGAAAATGTTATTAAAAAATGAACCAAAAATAGCTACATTGTAAAGTAAAGTGATGCAAAATACTAAAAACAGGAACATGTCTGCATTGGTGTGTGCCAAGAACTTAGCAGATGTTTGAGGTCATTTGGAGAGGTCAAGGTCATGAGCTTCAGATCTTTTTGTATAAGTTGTTCCAAGGAGCGGCGTAGAAGTAGGCCCTTTTCCTAGTTCAGTCCGCACTGAGGGAACACTGCATGTAATAATCATTATAATTAGATCATTATAATTAGATAATTAGATAATCATTAGAATTCTCAGCTGTGGTAGCCATCTTGAAATAGGTTGACAAGATAATCAGCTATAGATGCACATTCAAGGACTACGTTCTTAGATTTCAGTTAAATCTGTTCAGTGTTTGATGAGATGTTTTAACAAACACATACACACACACCCACACAGGCAATTACATGAACATTCACTTTTAATGGCGGCAGGCGATGATAATGGCAACTGTAATTAAATTATGAGCCATTCTCAACAACAAAGACGTATTACATTTTAAATCTTTGTTTTTGATTAGAAAACTCTTTCTTGAAGTCACGGTGAACTCAGCAACCTGTGAGCCTCTGCAAGACGAAATCACATTTCTGGTCACTTTAAAACTTAAAGCAAAGAGTTAGAAATCCGTTCATAACAGTATTTTTCACACCGCAGTGTTACCAGAGAGGCTTTTTAGAATTTAGACAGTAAAAGTTATTGATTGCTTACATACGCTATATTACTGTACGAGTATCATACCATAAGGGCACTTTGTATTTCCATTAGAAAACACGGCCTTAGTTAACAAATTGAATCAGCTTTTAACACTTGTACCATCTTTTTGTGATTTTAGAGTGTGAATTTGATTTTCTGTTTCAACTCAGAATAAGTTTATAGTGTGCAACTGTGGAGGCACTTTGATTTCAAACCTTGTTTTCTGTCCACACATCAATTAGTGAGCCACTAAAGTGACTTTGTGCTGTTAATGAGCACGAGCTGACAATAGGCCCATGTAAGCTACGACAGAGAGAGAGACGGCCTGTTGTGTTCTCGCAGACCTGTGGAGCCTTGCCAGGCTGTTAGGCAGATGAAGCTCCACTCCATCAGGCCCAACAAGGGGTGTCAGGGGGCCCAGGCTGCAGCGGACACAAGGACTAAATTATAATTGTCCTCTAGCTGCCTGTTTGTCTTAACTTTGCAGGGATTTTTTTTTTTTTTGTCAGCAACTTAATTGGTACAAAATTTGAATCCCTTATCTATTGAATTTTGATTAACACATTCAACACGTTCCTTGGATTGATCAAAATTAAATGTCTTTAAACTTTGAGAATTAAATATTTTTTCAGAAATGTTGGTGGAAAATTTCCAAATGCTGACAGATTTTATTCAAGTGTGTTGGATACGCATATTGGAGCAAAATGTGAGTTTTCCAAGAGCAAAGCACAACGTAAAGTTAGGACTGCAGGGTTAAAAATAGATGTATATGAAGAAATACAGTCAAATTAATTTCATTGCTTTGACTAATTGGTTAACAATAATGTAAATTAATTCATTTTAACTGTTTATAAAAGCCACATCTAAGTTCACTTTTGGTCAGGAAGACTTTAAGTAGCAACACCCAGAATATACTCATGACAAACTCAAAACTAGTAATTAATTACACACATTATGACGTTATCTTGCTTGACCAAGCACAACCTTCACTGAGGCCCAGGCTCTAGTTAACAGGCTGACTAGCGGGACGTGGTCCACGGTGGAAATAATAAGGGAAAAGAGCGGAAATAATTGGGTTTGATTAAGAACACTTTTCAAAGGGACACTATTTTCCCCTCCTGACATAATTGCAGATCGCTCAGAGGGTGGGAGGATTTGATGGCTGGCGCCAGTTGCTTGTCTTCGCGCCAGAATTCACTTTGAGAAAATAGACACGTCACTCAACTTCCTCTCTTGCTTTACACACATGCATGCACCAGTAATGGCTTTGTTTTACATTTGTTATATTTTCTCCAACTTTGGCTGATTTCAAACAAATGCAATGTAAGCCTTCGTTTTAAAGCAACTTTTAAAACCCTCTGGAAAACTTAAAGCTGTAAACAATGTTTTCTTTTTTTTTTTTGTAAGAATGAAAAACTTTGCTTAAAACCTTCTGAAGGATAACAAGGCTGTCACGAACATTACAGGAGCCAATAATAATAATAATAATAATAATAATAATAAAGATGTCAAGTCCAGTGCGAAAGGTTAGTGTTTGAGGGAAAAGGCAATTTCTAAAAGTAATCAAACACCAGCATTTCAGAATTATACATGACATTTGTGGTTAATTGGTTCATTTGTTGGTTGTTGTTTTTGATTATTTGTTTGTTTGTTTGTTTGCAGTTGCAGAGAAGCAGAGAGTCAGGCTGCTGTTGTTACGCTGTATTGTTTTACATTATTAGTGATTAGTGTATCTTAGATATTTTAGTGTATTGTTTAGCGTTTGTTTAACATATATCTTAGTGCATCTCCTTATATAGTATACTGTCTCTTTTTAAACTTTATATTTTGCTATTTTTGGGTGTAACTGGGACCCTGTGTAGATCATTTCATTCCACCTTAAGTACCACTTGTGATGGAAACGACAATAAAGTTGACTAGGACTTGGAGTCATTTTTCTTTTATAGATTTTCAAAAGTTACTTTTAACCGTAAGTTTTGTCAGTTCAATTTAATTATACCTGTTTTTATTATGTTATGCCCAGGTAGCTTTTACTGTGCAGTTTAATTCGTATGTTAATAAAAAAAAAATTAATTAAAAGTTTTAGTTGGTCTCTTTTCCTGGGTTACTATGCAGTAACTTATATATATATATATTTGATTTGAGACTTTAGACAAAAGTTTGGGCATCAAGATGTTTGTGAAAGGCAACACAAAAAATACCCTATAATATGTGTGAAATAAAAATATATATATATATATTTATCAGTTTCTTTGATTAGTTATTTAAACGCGTGAAGCAGATCAGCAGAAAATTCTAACCTCAACAAAAGTTTATGGAGGACATTGCGAGATTGGGATCATCTGGAATGATGCCTTCCACTGGGACATCAATCATCCACTGGGACATCAATCAAGACTGAGCTATGCTTTCCAGTTTTTATTTTGCTGTCAATGCAGCCACCTTGTGGCAGCAAAACAGTATTCCCAGTAAACCCTCAGCAAAGTTCTTAGGTATTCATATTCTGATCAGTCAAAGCCATCAATAAATCAAACAAGAAAACCACCTCAGTTAGGAGATATGAAAATTCAGGGCTATTGACTTTAACCATAGAAATGGAGCTTTAAAAATCTAATAGTTAAAAATCCATATAGGTAAATAAGGGCATTGAAAAAAATGGAGAACAAGAAGAATGTATTTAACAATGTGATTTAGAGTTCCCCTGATTAGGTATAAAATTATCATCTCTCCTTTCACAAGTTCAATATTGCTCGCCGACTCAGCAGGTGATAATGGTTTTACCTGTGTCTGTGCTCCAGCTGACCTTACAAAACAAATATGCTTATCAGTCATTTCTAATAATTTTATTAAAAGGCCTATTGGGTGTGGTAGTAGCTGAGACTGATCCTCAACACATATTCTGAGCATTAACAGATTGATCTTGTGCGGTCCACTCAGTTTGTTAGCAAAATATCTCATGAATCACTGGACAATTTCTAATGAAACTGTCAGAGTGTAATAATCGAAGGTACATCTACAATTGAATAACATTTGGAGTCAATCCAATTCAAGATGACTGCCACAACTCATCCTGAGTGGTCAACACAAAAAATGGCTTTAACTCAATTAATTGTTAATATATTAAGCTTAAACTAGGTGTTGTAGTAGCTGATAGTTATGTACAACCATAGACATGTTACAATATATTAGCCGTATTCGTTCACAACCACAGATTTTAGATAAATAGTATTTTAATAAACCCAACATTTTTCAGTCAGGTCATCTGGACAGTTTCTTTTTTTTTTTTTTTTTTTGGAGATGCTGAAAAAGACAAAGGTAAACTTTACTTATTTTAATAAACGTTTAAGGTCATGACGCGTACGCGTGAACTCTCGCGATATCTCATGAGCTCTTGCAGGACGTTGACAAAGAAAACGACTACAACTCCATCATTTCTCAACAATGGATGATCATTGTGAAAAACTCTGGCGTGAAAGACGGCGGGCGATATGCATTATTTTAAGAAATATTTGATTTTTAATTTGTACATTGATTTTGTTCATACTTTTATATTAGCTTAGCACCCAGTTAGCATGGGAGTGTCTGCTGAGCTAATTTGTTGGTGATTGTTACTGCCCTCTACTGGACGGATGTCATAACTGCGACAGAACAAGAAAACTCCGAACTGATCTGGGAGCAGTTTCTGTACGAGGCATTTCTTTCGTGGTCCACTCTGATTGGTCCAGGCACACCATCATGTTGACCAATAGCAGGCAGACATCTGTTCGCCGGAGCCACTCTAAAATATTACGCCGTCTTCCTTCTCCTCGGCGCATTTGATTTTGACCAAACGCCGTTGACTGTCATCTGAGGGAATCTTAGCTAAAAAAAGAGGAAAATGAGGGTTTTATATTTGGCTGTGTTGCTATTAACAGCATACTGCGTTAACGCAAATATTTACTTTCGGGAGGAGTTTCAAGACGGTGGTAAGTGTGTTTCGGTCAAGGGCCATCGTTGAAAATGTGCTAGCTTTTGTGTTGAATTATGTTTCGGTTAATAAATGCTGCAGTTCTTCGTTGCTTTAAACTGGCTAATTTCAGTTACACGTCAAAGCTAAAGCAAACGTAATTTATTTAAAATATTATTGTGACTCAAGCTGCTATGCTAGAGCTAACTGTCTTTAAAGTTGCATTTTACACATAAACCTGTCGGTTTTTATCGTCCATTAATTCAAGGTTATAATTTTTTTGAAAATGTACCCCAAGTGTTGCTCTGCAGCAGATTTACTGGTTGTACTTTGTGTTTTAAGATGAATGGAGAAGTCGATGGGTGAATTCAAAGCACAAATCAGACTATGGAGACTGGAAACTTACAGCCGGAAACTTCTATGGAGATGTTGAAAAAGACAAAGGTAAACTTAACACAATTTCAGGTGCAAAAAATTGTATCGATATTTAGATGGTGGAAATGACATCTGAAACCTTGTGCAACCTTGGAATAAAGTGAAACAGAAACTCCCATTTACATCCTAATTCTGTAGTTTATTTGCTGAGCCGATCACAAAATAAGTCACCACCCTAAAATCTCTTGAACAATCCAAGATGGGATTGTATGTCAGTGGTACTGTTAGCCAAAGATAATCTGTTTTGCGTTTGCTTTGCTCTTTTTCTCTTCAGGTCTGCAGACAAGCCAAGACGCTCGCTTCTACGCTGTCTCGGCACGCTTTGAGCCCTTCAGCAATGAGGGGAAGTCTCTAGTTGTCCAGTTTACGGTCAAGCATGAGCAGAAGATTGACTGTGGTGGTGGCTACGTAAAGGTCTTCCCTGCTGACTTGGATCAGACTGCCATGCACGGGGACTCTACATACTACATCATGTTTGGTAAAAATATATATAAAATAAACAATGGTTTTCCTGTGTTAATTACGGTTTGTTGTATTAAATTGTATTTGTAACTGAATTAATTTCGACTAGGCCCTGACATCTGTGGCTACAGCACCAAGAAAGTCCATGTCATCTTTAACTACAAGGGAAAGAATCACCTGATTAAGAAAGAAATTAAATGCAAGGTAATTCAGAAATTTCCACTCTGACATCATGCATTGCATAAGGAGTCAAAGCTCAACACTTTGTCTTGTATCTAGGATGATGAACTGAGCCACCTGTACACACTGATCCTGAATCCAGATCAGACCTATGAGGTGAAGATTGATAATGAGAAGGTAGAATCTGGCAGTCTAGAGGAGGACTGGGACTTCCTGCCACCTAAGAAAATTAAGGACCCTGAAGCCAAGAAGCCAGAGGACTGGGATGACCGCCCTAAGATTGATGATGTAGATGACAAAAAGCCTGAGGTGAATAAGCTTAACATAACTGCTGTTGCATCAAATTAACCTTACAACTGACTTTGAAAATAATGTTGTTTTTAGGATTGGGACAAACCTGAAAATATTCCAGATCCTGATGCCAAAAAGCCTGAAGACTGGGATGAAGATATGGATGGAGAATGGGAGCCACCTATGATCCCCAACCCAGAATACAAAGTAAGCTATGTTTCCATATCCAAATATGGAAAATGAATAGCTCCTGTTAAAGATCTTTGCCTACTAATAGTGTTTCTTTCGCCTGATTGTCTTTTGTATCTCAGGGAGAATGGAAGCCCAAGCAGATTGACAACCCCAACTACAAAGGAGCCTGGGTGCATCCTGAAATCGACAACCCTGAATATTCTCCTGATTCTAATATCTACAAGTTTGATAACATAGGTGTGATCGGTCTTGATCTTTGGCAGGTGAGAGGAGGGTCATTTTCTGGGTTGTATTTTTAATTGCAGAGGTAAAGCAGCAGCGTAATGTTTTCAAACCATTTCCCAGGTAAAATCTGGCACAATCTTCGACAACTTCTTGATCACGGATGATGTGAAGGAAGCAGAAGAAATTGGAAAAGAGACATGGGGCGTAACTAAGGTATGCTGCTGTTTTATACACAGAACCATTGAAAACAAATGGGGAGAGCAGGTGTTCCCGCTGTCTTCACATTAGCTGACGCTTAAATAGACCACAAAGACCAGATCCAACTTACAAGTGATCGTAAATGTAGCAAAAAAAAAAGTATTTCGGTTAAGAAAATTATTTTATCTGGCCCTTAAATGGGGAAATTGACATTTTTGCAACTGCAAAAGGGGCAGACTAATGTACATAAAACAAGATCATAAAGCATGCTGTACAACATGGGCATGCTATACAGTAAACAAAGAAGAAAAGAAAATATGACGCATAAAATAAATTACTGTAAAACTAAACTGTACACATTTTTTTGCATATATGGTTCTGTTTATAGATAACAGAAATACATTTTCACAAGAAAATTTATACAACTGTTGAAGAAAATTTTAACACAGGGTTACACATGAAGGGTTACACATGGAAACGAGTTAATTTAAAATTGCACAGATTTGTTTTTATGTGATTACAGGGCCTAAATTCAACAGTTTGAACTGTTTGAATATGTTTAATTAAAACAAATGAAACCAGAAAATTTAAGCATTTTTTTAAAACTCTTAAGCAGCGTTACTCAATGAATAGACCAATATCCAAAAATTCTAGTTTTGGTGTACACAGCCATCAGTTACTCCTAGTTTTCCATTTAAACAAAATAAAGTATTAAAACCTTTGATGCTTTCAAAAACAAAGTTTTGTGATCGTCTTTCACTTCCTCCACAGGAACCAGAGAAGAAAATGAAAGAGGAGCAGGATGACAAAAAACGAAAAGAAGAGGAAGAGAAGGCAAAAGAACAAGCAACTGAGACGGAAGATGAAGAGGAGGAAGAGGAAGACGGAGAGGAGGAAGAGGAGGAGGAAGAGGAAGACGCAAAGGATGAGTCAGAGGAAGCGCTTTCAGAAAAAGATGAGGATTCTGTACCTAAAGATGAGCTTTGAAAAGAAATGTAGCCAAAAGAGAGAAATGCGTTTTTAATGTTCCCTCCACAGAAACTGTCCTGTAAATCTCTGGAGCATTGACTGCTGTGCATCCTTTCCCAGAGATGCAGACAAAACCCGGCTTTGGGGTCTGGTGTAGAAAATTGGGGTTGAGTGGGGTGTTTAATGGACTTGGTGTCTCTTTCATTTTTGTCACGTTACCCTTGATGAATTGGTTCTGTGGGTTGTCTTTCATTCTGTGTTTTGACTGAAGTCCATTCCTCTTTGTTGCAGTGACACAACGGGTTGAATAAAATCAGATTTAGACTTTTCACAGTCAACAAGATAAAATAAAGGGTCAGAAATGGGGACTGAGGCGTGGTAATTTATTTTGGTTATTTCTACAGCACTGAACTTTTCTTTCCTCATTCTTGACGGCATTATTGATTGAAATGTGAAAATAAAAAAGCATCGAGTCCTAATACTAAATATTTTCATTTTGCCACAAATTGTAATAATTCATATTTCATGATATGCTGGGAGTTGCAGTGGATTCTGGTGAAGCAGATGGCGATGCGCTGGTGTTACTCATGCAAGGGCAGCACAGACTTACTCGACAGAATGTTATTGATGCCAAAGTTTTTATTAAAAGATGATTACCTTATTGTTGTGTTTTTATTGCTACACAATTTATTTGTTTCCAATCCATGCAAGTTACCCAATTCAATGGTAATTGAAAAGTTTTAAATTTGAATTAAAGTTCAAAGGCTTCCATAAAGCTTTACCGTTTGTGGCAAATGCTTGGCGCTAATTTACAGAAACCCAGTTTGTAATATTTGCAAACGGTTACACCAAATTTTTGTTGGATTATCAACGTATAAAGTATTTTGGACACAATGTAAAAGATTTTGACGATGAGATTGGGGTTTCATTTAGGTTGAAAGCTTACAGAATTCTAAAAAGGTTAAATACGTTTGGTAAAGGTATTAAGGAGACCAGGCCCCTATGGTTTGAAGCATTTGCAACGCTTAATTGAGCCACCCACACATAACCTCTCCTCTTACACCTTAATTAACTAAGCATTGTCACATTTTAGGTATTCTTGATGGGATCATATTAAAAATGCACTAAATCAAGATTAACTTTTGACTTCAGGTCTCTTGTAAATGAATCCCCGAGGCTCAATGGGATTAACCTGTCTAAATAAAGGTTGATTTAACTTAAATAAACCTATTTATGATTAGGCTTCACATTCCTGTGACAGTTTAATGGAGTAACAAAAGTGATTTTACTAGTTTTAACCTTTCAATGTGTTCTATTTGAACGAATGTACATATTGGATAGCGCTACTAAAACTTAATAAATTAATGGGCAGATTTCCTGATATTTGTTGACAGCTGTGAAATCAAAGAATTGCAAATTAGATAAATACCTTTCAACTGCTTTGGACTTCAGAGTTTCAAAAGACCACAGAAAATTACTAAAGTAGACACATTAAAAAGGTGCATGTCTGGTTTATTTCCAAAAATCATAAAAAATAGTTATGCTAAATGAGAATGGATGATCAGATATGGAAAGTGTAGATTTTCAAGTTGCTATTGAGTAAAAAACACCTATTTATATAAAACTAGTACTTGTATTTAAAATGTGATAACGTCCCTGAAGGAATCGAAAGCCAAGAATAAGTTAGTCTACTTCGGTTTTTGTTCAATTAACTATTAGTGAAAAAGATGCTTTAAAATCACGCACAAAAAATTATAATACGATAATATTTAAGTAGAGGGTTTAATGGCGCTTCACATGACCTAAGCGCGTGTTATCAGGGGCACCTTTTTCGACACAACACCGGAAGCGGGTTCCCTTTAGGGGAGTGAACGTCGTGCGCGTTCACGATATACCAGGAAATATGGCGGCGCTCATGACGCTCAGTCAGGTAACAACGATTAACCGCTGAAGAAAAGGCTGAAATTTTAAAGTCTGTGGATATTAAATGACACTGACATTGGTCGTGTGTTATTTTTACCACAACTCGACGCTGTAAACCGGGTTGAATGTTTGTCAAAAGAAACAGTATTAGAAAGTTTTCGTTGTCTGCCGAGATAACATTAGCCAGCAGGTTAAGTTGTGATGCGAAAGTTGGGACGTTTTTTTATGGCAGAAAATAAAAAGTGGCTGCTACACAAAGAAGATACTTCGGTCATAAAAAAACAAAACGTAATTAAACAGAAGATTGAATTACAGAAAAGGATATGTTATAAGCTGTTATCCCACAAAAACACCCTAGCCTAGGCTACGTAATGTTTAAAAAACTGTGCTAACTTCGTAACCAGCTAATATGTAAAATGATCCGTTTCTTTTTATTCGCTATAGCTAACAAACAAGATTTAATTCATTTGTCTGATGTTTTTTTTTTTGTTGCTTTTTATAAAGTTGTCAAGTGGAAATGCAGCTTATGAAAGCTATTACAGACTGGTAAGTTTGGCCTTAGCCATTTCAATTTGTTTATTTTATTGAACTGAATATGATCATGTAAAATTGAATAATACTGATTTATCTACCATTTATTTATTTTTAGCTCGATCCAGGGAACACAGGCAAAATATCAGCAGGCGATGCAGCTCATTTTCTTAAAAAGTCTGGATTATCTGACAATACACTTGGAAAAGTAGGTTACAGACTTATCTATAAGCAAATTACTCTCATATATTCAGTCTGTACTGTCTGAACTTATACTGGGTTGTTTACTCTTCCAGATTTGGGATTTGGCTGATTCTGATAGAAAAGGCTATTTGGATAAGCGGGTAAGGGAGAAATTCTTGGTAACGTTGCGGTGTTGGGGAGATGCTGATGTTTGCACTAAACACTGCACTTGTTCTGGTTTTTTCCTCACTTTTGTAGGGTTTTTTCATTGCTCTGAGACTGGTGGCGACAGCACAGAGTGGAAATGATATCAGTCTCAACAACCTCAACAAAACCATCACTGCACCTATTTTTGTAAGCGTTAAAATTACTTTTCTTACTAATATTATGACCTTGATTGTAAAAATACATTTATTTTATAGAGAAATACACGTGTAGCTCATGTGAAATGAATGGACATTTGTGACAGTTGCAGTTTTGTTTCTTATTTGCTATTTTATCTAATTTTTTACTTTCACAGAGAGACGTTGACAGCCCTTTATTAAGTGTGTCAACACCAGCATCTGACTCTCTGTGGGCAATAAGAGTGAGTCAAAACAGATTTTAAAAATATTCTCTTGGAGATTAAAGAATTAATTTTGATTTTTTTTTTTTTTCTCTCAGCCTGATGAAAAGGGGAAGTTTGAGGGAATATTTGAAAGTCTGTCACCCGTAAAAGGTCTTCTGTCTGGTGATAAAGTCCGACCAGTTTTGATCAACTCTAAGCTACCTTTGGATGTGTTAGGAAAGGTGAAATGAACATTATTGAACACTGCATTTTTCTGCCTTCTGTTATTTTTAAAGAGTCAAACCTTGATCACATTATGTTTTTTTGTAGATTTGGGACCTAAGTGATGTGGACAAAGATGGACACTTGGACAAAGAGGAATTTACCGTGGTAAGCAGGGATATTTTGTAAATTTTGCAGTGACTTTATTGTAGTTTTTACACATTAATATTTTAAATCTAGAGAAAATACATATGTTAGTTGTAATAAAAGCTAACATTTATTGTCTTCTAGGCCATGCATCTTGTGTATCGTGCCATGGAAAAGGAACCCGTCCCAAGCAGTTTACCTCCTTCTCTCGTCCCACCTTCTAAAAGGAAAAAATCTGCACCTGCGCTTCCAGGCGCTGTGGCTGTGCTGCCTGCTTTGCTCAGTCTTTCATCCAGCCCAGCTCCTCTCAGAGAGACCCTGCGAAGCACTTCTACCCTTGGTAGTGCTACTCCTCTTGGCAGACACACACCTCCTCTTGGGAGTGCTGCTTCTTCTTTAGGGAGCACTACTCCCCTCAGCCCCAGCGCTATCAACCTTTCCCCAAAACACTCCTTTAAATCTAGCTCAGCGGTAAGTCAATATACGCAGACTTTTTCTTCAGATATGAATATAATCGCTATCGGTGCATCATAGTTCGTCCATAGTTGATAAAATGTACTTTCTGTGTCCAAGGTCTCATAATTAAATTTATTTGTATCAAATATTGTTAGTAATGCCATTTCCACATTGTTTTGTTAAACATAATCAACAGCTATCTCACTATTTGTGTAAATTAAAACTACCGGTAGATTAAACAAGAGAACTGTTAATTTTCTCCCAACTTTCTCTGTAAATGTTTATTTTAGTAAGCTTTGCTCTTTTTATTTGATTTCTCTTTAACTTGAGAGAAAAACAGATTTACGAGGATCCATTGGGTTGTTTCACAGAGATGCTTTTTCCTTATATATATATATATATATATATATC